AAGAGAAGGACAGAAGGAGGGTGTGGGGCAGGGGACAGAGGAAGGAAAAATGTATGTCATCACCCGTGTGTCGCACCCTTCTCCTCCTCTCTCACTCATCAGCCTGTGCAGCTGACCACGGAATTGACACCTGCGGTGGTGAAGTACCAAGAAACCGTGACACGGAAATTGAAACTGCTGAGTGAAAAGCATCATGCAAATGGGACCATGGGCATGACGTGGTCTCTGATACATCCACTGGTAATGATAGTGCCATTGAAGATAGGAGGCATAAACGGGAGAGGGGGTCAAATAAGGGGTATGTATGGCTGGGGATGTGCATTCCCTGAGCTCCATTAGGCACTTGAGGAAGTGATTTACGTACGGCTGCTATGACTCATGGTGAAGATCCTAGGCACTCGAGCTGCAGCTCTTGCCATTGCTGCATCCAGCAATGGCAGCAAGCCATCAACACATAGAATTTTCCCCCCATGACTGCTGGAAGTCCAGCCAGCAGAAGTTGCACTGGCTGCAAAGCAGTAGGGGCCGCAATGGAGTAGGGGAAAAAAATCAAAGGGAGAGGGAGAAACGCCCTGCTTCTGAGGGGGTAAGAAGGAAAAAGAGATGAATCCCTCCCTCTCTCAAACCCTGCACTGGACATTCGAGCAGACAACTTGAAGTGTGATGGGCAAGCACGCGTAAATTGAGAGGGATTAGGGAATATCGGGGAGATTTCTATCATATTGCGAAACGGCTTGCATGCTGCTGCATTCTCAAGGTGAAGTTGTCCGCTCAAGCTGCTAAGGATCATGCGTTGGATGAGAATCACGAATTTGAAGAATCATGGATCGTGCCAAATGGCACATCCGGTGTGCCCCTTGGCTTTGATAATCCGCTGCCATGCCACGATTGGTGCCACTGAGACTATCTTGTGCATGAGGTTTTGATAACTGGAGCGGCATGAGCTTGAACAACGAGACACGGGAAACATATCAGGGCACAAAGAAGGGGGGCATAGCAGCTGCTGCAGTTTTCTCCTGCTACTCTCTTCAGAGGAAAATTGGTGACAAACCCCTACGAGTGCTGGACAAGTTTGAGGCTGAAACCTGAGCAGATTGAAACTGCTCTACACCCATACCTAAGCAAAGATAGAGGTTGAATCCACTCTACACACATTTCGACAGGCAAGAAGGCCATAGACAAGGCAAGGAAGGCAAGGTGTCGGCAGGTTCCAGCCACATCTGAAATGTGCCAACTGTGTGAAGGAAGCCCCAGCGGGCAGGATAAACTCTTTAAGCACTTGATCTTAAACCTCCATAGAAAACTGCGAGGGCAAGGTAGTATCTGCTACCTAGGCCCTCTAGCTACGGTTACGACCGAAGGTGTCTTTGCGTTGTATGATGCACTTTCACCTACAAAAAACATAAATAAAAAGCTTGAACAGACTTTGTTGGTACGTTATTTCTGTTGGTGTTTCCACTGCTTCGCACTGCCCGTGACACGATCACAGCTGAGCTGAAATGCGCTCCGCGTCATCGTGGTGACACCTGAGTGTTCCTGCTGGAATGCTCCTACTAACGTCACCAAGACTACATAAGACATGAAAGCTATCAGGGCAATAAATACATGAGAGAGGGTGGGGGTCGAGGGCAGGGGGGGCGCCTGGGACCAACTGAACGCCAACTTTAAGTTCGTCTACTAGAACGAACCTTGGGAGGCTGCAAACGGGACACAGCGGATTGGAGAAACCACAGCGAGAAACGACAGAAAGAAGAGTAAGCGGAGTCGAATGATGCATCTCGCGCCTTCCGTTGCCATCGTGGTGCGGCAAGCTTCCAGTAGACCCTAAATTAGTTATTTTAATCGCTTGTGAATCTGTGCGCAATCAGTAGCAGTGGTTCTAAGCGTCAATAGAAACGCGTAAATACTTGTAGACGGTAAATAAAGAAACTACTGTATGATGAGAAACTACTCGTAGAACCTGGAGTGCAGACGACATCAAGTTATGATGAGGAATCCATGTAAGCTAGCTTGAAATGAAGCTAGAGGAAAGAGAGTGGCAGGAGGAGGTGAGGGTTGGGTGATGGAAGTCCCCATCTTTCTTGCCAAGATCTGCTTTGCAACATGGCTGACGAACGTCAAATTCGCGAGTTGCGGCAATTACGAAAAGATCATCAAGTTACCCTGCAATCGCGAATTCCAATGCGATACGAGTTTCGGTGGTGGTGTTGTACGCCAACAGGGCGTGTCGAGCCACCGAGAATCTCGCCAGGTCTGCGAGTCAGACGAATCAGGACAGCGGCTGACCCTGTTTGACGAACACCGACCCTGACTCCCCGCAATAAAGAAATCCAGATGAACGCTAAAGCAAATGATATTTCTTTCAGCATACAAAGAGCCATGTTTAAACATGCAAATTAGGGTACGAACGACCTAGTGGCATCAGTATCTTTCGACAAAGGGAACCGCGATCTCTCCACACACCCCGAGATCTAGAATTTTCGAGCAGTCTAGCGATAATGTAGAATTGAGCGTTCACAGTTTCATCGTGTGACTAAACAACGGCAAGATGACACTGATGTGTGATGCTCATCGTCTAATCTACTCACTATGGGTTGTCAGAATGTCGTCTAAGATCCGATTTAAGAAGGGGACATCTCTCGCACCTCCTTCCACTCCCCATTTTTTCTTCCTTACCATCGCACAATTCCACTGTGCGACGCCGCCCGTTGCGTGAAGCATGAATGCGCAACTGACATCAGGCGGCATGAGGAAAATAAACGTCAGATACGCTTTTCTCATAAGCACAGAGTGGATTGCGAGAGGCGGCGTCGCGAGCATCGCAGGCGTCGAAGCTGCAAAGAGCAGCGAATGGAGTGGCGAGTTGACGATGGCGAGTCAAACGGTGATCACCATAATTGTCGCTTTGGAGGATTCTTAAATGTCATCATCGCCGCCTTCGATGCTGGTGCGAGGATCGTCTTCTCTCTCCCTGCTCCTCTCCCCATGCATGTTCCCCCCTTCTCCTCGCTAATTGTTGCTCCTTATCCTCCTGCGCTTGATGTGAGCGACAAACCTTATTTGCCCTTCCGAGACACCTAACAACATTGAATTTCCTTCTATGCTTCCCCTTCCCCACCTCCCTCATCCCCCCCCTCCTCCCCCCCCCCCCCCCCCCCCCCAAAACCCCCAACCTACCCCCTACCCCCTTCCTCGTTTCTCCGCACTCCCTTCCCCCCTCATGCTACCTGCCATCCTCTTACAGGCTACAGCGACGTGCTGGAGAATTGGGCGCTGCACGCGCAGGCAGTGGGTCCGGGTGGCCTTGACCTTCGCCGCGAGCAAGTAGCCGAGCAGGTGCGTCCTGCGGAGAGTGATGCATGGCTGGGTGCAACACGGTTGGGTGCTGCACGGTTGGGTGCTGCACGGTTGCAGAATGAGGGGGGGAGAGGAGGGATGGGAGGAGAGGAAAGGTGGGGGGTGTGGTTGGGGGGAAGGGGATGGGGGAGGGGACGAGAGGAGAGGGACGAGAGGGATTAGGGCGGTTGGATGGAGACGGATAGGAATGGAGGGGGGCGAGGAGAGGGGGAGTGGGAAGTAGAGGAGAGGCGGGAGCTGGGAGAAGGGGGAAGGGGGGGGGTAATGGTTTTCGCCTTGATGGAAGTAGATGGGGGTGAGAAGTAGGAGGGTGTTGGGAGTGGCAGATGCGCTGCTGGTGGCTGGACGTTACTGGCCGCTCATGAGGGTGCACGTGCATGTAGAAGCGGTGCAAGTGAGCAAGCCCATGCTGTTGGATGGTGAATGCAGATGAGAGCAGGGCGACTTGGGAGAGACTGACCATGCTACACCAAGCAGGACGTGCAGCTTGGCCTACCTGAGGAAATTGGGGGGAAGTGGGAGGATTTGGGAGGGGTTGCGGTGCGAGAGAGGCGATTGTAGCGCAAGAGAAAGAGGGAAGTCGAGCTTCCCTGTAGCTGTCTGAAAAGGCAGACGAAGGAAGACGTGCTATTCAGGCAGATGCGACCCATATCGCCCTTTAGTTGTTTGGCGACGACAAGGGTGAGTCGAGTTGAGAGAGTGTAATCGCATCAGAACGAATCTCTTCGTCGGCCGTTGCTGATGCGATCGTTATCAGGTCGGATGGCGCACGTGGAAACGCATGCTTGGCATTAAGAAATATGATATGCGCTCCCATATTGCCATGATTAAGAAATGGGGTGCACCCATACGTTTCCCCGATGCTTCTGGCCGCTCTTGTCTTAGCCTTTCTTAACTATGTACGTTTTGGAACTCCCGTTTCCTGCCTTTGACCTTACTCCCTCCTCGTTTCAATGTTTGCTTTTGCATGCCCCCACCTTTCCTCGTTCCCGCGTTTCGCTTCTCAATCCTCGTCATCGCCTGCCTTCTCGGACCTCCTCCCCAACCCTCTTTACCACTCCGCTTTCCGCATTCATTCCTACCCTCCTTTGTCCCCTGTCGCTTCCCACCGTCAGTCTCTGCAACATCGCGTCCGGTACAGTCAATATGTGATACACCTCACTCCCAGCCCTCGCCCCTCTCCCCCTTTCATCTCCCACCTCCTCCCCCTCCCTGTCCCTCTCGCCCGCTCCTCCTCCCTCCGCCTCCTGGTTACTGCTGAGCTTTAACGGCTAACGTAGCAGCTCCTAGGCGTGTCACGTGGCCATGACAGTGGCATGCTGAAGGGAAGACTGATTGCAGAATGAGATTTACAATGGATGACGTTGCAGATACCAGCGCTGCTAAATAGGCAGCGGGACGAAGCATCCCCATCTTTCTGGAGCAGCCGGTGAGAGCAGTACGTGAGAGCATGGGAGGGAAGAGAGATATAATGGATTGTAAAGAGACACGTGGTGAGGGAAAGTAGAGGGTAGATAACATTTCGGGCCGGAGTGGGTGTGTGGTGGTGGGTAGTATTTTGCTGTCAACGGTGGGGGTGATGATGTGAGGGAGTGTGTGAGGTGTGACGGAAGACAGATGGGCGAGGAGTTTCCCTGTCTCTCCTACCACATGCACATTACCTCTGCTAGTTCTGCAGCTCCCACTGTGACTGCTCCTGCTGCTGATGCCAGAACCCGTGCTGATGGTGTTAGTGGCGATGCTTCTCCCGTCTCAGCTACCTCCTGCAACACGTTCATCTCATGGATTTCTATGTACCATAACCTTCATACAATGTCCTCATGCCTACATTGCGTTGTGTCTGTTTCACTTTTAAGTGCTCCGCCCTGCCTCATCACTTTCCAATCGCCCCTAGCCCTCGTCTCTCCATTCCCAACATTTCCAGGACGACGCAGTGCAATGTAGGGCGCGCACCCACTGTCACTGCTCCCTTCCTCCCCTTCCCCATCCACCTCCGCCCTAACCCTGTCCATTCCATATCCCTTCCCCATGCCATAACCCCTGTTTTCCCTCGTCTCCCCCTTTCCCATCTTCAAGTTCTCCATTTGCCCAACTTTAGCCATTGCACCTGTAACTTCAACCATCACACCCAAATAGCTGTCTTCCCGTCTTGCCATTCATTTCGTAGATGAATCAAGTGACCCACCCCATCCCATACCCCATCCCGCCCATTCCATGAGTCACCCCATCCCACACCCCATCCCATGCCCCATCCCATACCTCGTCCCGTACCCCATCCCAAACCCCATCCCATCCCATCCCACACCCCATCCCACACCCCATCCCATACCCCATTCCACACCCCATCCCATACCAAATCCCACACCCCATCCCATACCCCATCCCACACCCCATCCCATACCTTATTCCACACCCCATCCCATACCCCATCCGACACCCAACCCAAACCCTATCCCACACCCTATCCCACACCCCATCCCATATCCCATCCCATACCCCATCCCACACCCCCATCCCATATCCCATCCCACAATCCATCCCATATCCCATCCCACACCCCATCCCATACCCCATCCCACACCCCATCCCACACCCCATCCCATACCCCATCCCACACCCCATCCCATACCGCATCCCACAACCCATCCCATACCCCATACCACACCCCATCCCATACCCCATCCCACACCCCATCCCATACCGCATCCCACACCCCATCCCATACCCCATACCACACCCCATCCCATACCCCATCCCACACCCCATCCCATATCCCATCCCATACCTCATCAGCTCACCTCACCTCTAATCCACATCCTCACCTCCTGCCTTCCAGCTAGCTGTCAGCATTTTGATTAAATTGTACGATCCCACCATGCCCTGCCTTTCATGCCATCGGGTCATGGCCTTTCCTTCGTCCAACTTATGACGAAAACATTGTGTCCCTCCCTGTCCTAGATCAACGTCATCACCCTCCCATCTTCTCCCCGCCTTCTCAAATCGCACTTGGGCAGCACCTCTGCCTCCTGTCCTCATCACAGGCAAATCAATGCAGTGAAGCGTGGCAGTACTCAACAACATCAGAGCTAACAGAACGAGCTGTTGCATCGCTACTGCTCTTGGTAAGAAAATCCGGGCGAGGCCGCAATTCTTTGTTTTCTGCATGCCACTCTATTTCATTCCTTCGTTCCAGGGATTCAGATCCTTTCACTGTGTTGCCACCTGCCGCCATTCCAGCAGTGGATACCTCAGGTGGATTGTTGAATAGTACCCTCGGCCAATAGAATGCCCTCAGGATGTACTATAGTAGCAAGCCACCTTATGTGGTTTTGTGTACAGGAGGCATGAACCTCCTGTCTGATGTATTACATAGTAGCAAGAGTTTTTGTCGTTGATGAGTTTGGAGGATCACCAAATGAACATGATTACCAGTAATTGAGCATACTAAGACTGTTCAGAAACCTGTGTCATACCCTCTCTGAGGAGATCCTTTCACTGTGCTGCCGCCTGTGACATCTCTTCCCTAACCCCGCCTCCATTTCCACGCCTGTTCTCGGCCACTTTGCATATCCACCTCCGTGCAGCATCGTTTTGAAGGCATCCCCATAATGGCGTCCAGAGAGTTGTCAGTTTGGTCAGGGCAGTCAGCTGCTGTAGCCCATCATTTGACACTTCAGTTCCACCCAGAGCAAGGCTCTCGAGCCCTGTCAGCCTACCCAAATCCACCATGCCAGCATTTGTCACACCCTTGCATTCAGTAAGCCATAACACTTCGAGGGGGGGCAGGGCTGTCAAGTGCGCCAGGCCAGCATTGGTCACCTTGGTACGATGGAGATAGAGCTGCTTGAGACTGCCCGAGGATCCAATCCCTTCCAATGCGCTGTCTGAGACGTCTGTGCAGTTGAGGTTTAGCTTCTCCAGCCGTGGTAGCCTGTAGAGGTGCTTGATGCCCTCTGCACTGAAGCCTGAGGTAGAGGATAAGTCTATGCTCATTAGGTGAGTCATTGTAGACGCATGCCTGAGGATGGTGTCTGAGAGGCTGTGGAGATCCGCCAGATTCAAATGAATTCCTCGTAATGCTGACCTGATTCGCTGGAGGGAGTTAATGACAGGAATGACCATCGTGACAATGAGCTCGCTCCATGACATATTGAACAATGCATGGCATGTGGAACAATGCATGGCATGTGGAACAATGCATGGCATGTGGAACAACGCATGGCATGTGGAACAATGCATGGCCTGTGGAACAATGCATGGCCTGTGGAACAATGCATGGCCTGTGGAACAATGCATGGCCTGTGGAACAATGCATGGCCTGTGGAACAATGCATGGCATGTGGAACAATGCATGGCCTGTGGAACAATGCATGGCATGTGGAACAATGCATGGCCTGTGGAACAATGCATGGCCTGTGGAACAATGCATGGCCTGTGGAACAATGCATGGCCTGTGGAACAATGCATGGCCTGTGGAACAATGCATGGCCTGTGGAACAATGCATGGCCTGTGGAACAATGCATGGCCTGTGGAACAATGCATGGCCTGTGGAACAATGCATGGCCTGTGGAACAATGCATGGCCTGTGGAACAATGCATGGCCTGTGGAACAATGCATGGCCTGTGGAACAATGCATGGCCTGTGGAACAATGCATGGCCTGTGGAACAATGCATGGCCTGTGGAACAATGCATGGCCTGTGGAACAATGCATGGCCTGTGGAACAATGCATGGCCTGTGGAACAATGCATGGCCTGTGGAACAATGCATGGCCTGTGGAACAATGCATGGCCTGTGGAACAATGCATGGCCTGTGGAACAATGCATGGCCTGTGGAACAATGCATGGCCTGTGGAACAATGCATGGCCTGTGGAACAATGCATGGCCTGTGGAACAATGCATGGCCTGTGCTGTGGAACAATGCATGGCCTGTGGAACAATGCATGGCCTGTGGAACAATGCATGGCCTGTGGACAATGCATGGCCTGTGGAACAATGCATGGCCTGTGGAACAATGCATGGCCTGTGGAACAATGCATGGCCTGTGGAACAATGCATGGCCTGTGGAACAATGCATGGCCTGTGGAACAATGCATGGCCTGTGGAACAATGCATGGCCTGTGGAACAATGCATGGCCTGTGGAACAATGCATGGCCTGTGGAACAATGCATGGCCTGTGAACAATGCATGGCCTGTGGAACAATGCATGGCCTGTGGAACAATGCATGGCCTGTGGAACAATGCATGGCCTGTGGAACAATGCATGGCCTGTGGAACAATGCATGGCCTGTGGAACAATGCATGGCCTGTGGAACAATGCATGGCCTGTGGAACAATGCATGGCCTGTGGAACAATGCATGGCCTGTGGAACAATGCATGGCCTGTGGAACAATGCATGGCCTGTGGAACAATGCATGGCCTGTGGAACAATGCATGGCCTGTGGAACAATGCATGGCCTGTGGAACAATGCATGGCCTGTGGAACAATGCATGGCCTGTGGAACAATGCATGGCCTGTGGAACAATGCATGGCCTGTGGAACAATGCATGGCCTGTGGAACAATGCATGGCCTGTGGAACAATGCATGGCCTGTGGAACAATGCATGGCCTGTGGAACAATGCATGGCCTGTGGAACAATGCATGGCCTGTGGAACAATGCATGGCCTGTGGAACAATGCATGGCCTGTGGAACAATGCATGGCCTGTGGAACAATGCATGGCCTGTGGAACAATGCATGGCCTGTGGAACAATGCATGGCCTGTGGAACAATGCATGGCCTGTGGAACAATGCATGGCCTGTGGAACAATGCATGGCATGTCAAAGAATGGATGGCATGTCAAAGAATGGATGGCATGTCAAAGAATGCATGGGCTATCGAACAATGCATGCCGAGTTAAACAATGCATGCCCAGTCAAACAACAAATGGCCTATCGAACATAAAGGTCAGCACTCACCTTCCATGCATCAATCTGACGGTCATCACTTCTGCACATTTCCAGCTCAAAATTTTGCCAATTTCGGCAGGCTGTCAATTCCTCCATGGCACAAGGCCAATCAAGCGCCTGCACCTCCCTCCTCCTCTCCTCCCTCTCCCTTGCCAACTCCGCTCTCATTTCATCCTCTCCCTTTCTGACCTCCTCTCCAAGCTCTCTCAATTCCAATTCCCTTCGTCTCTCAGCCATATCCAGTTGCTCTGTTATAACATCCTTGTGTTCAGCCAGCCCCCCCTTCACTGCAGTCAGCTCTGCCTTCACTTTATTCAGCTCCTCGGTCAATGTTGCCAACGCTGTCTCCCTCTCCTCAACCACAGCAGCAGTTGCCACACTCCTCTCTCCCACAACATCCAGTGCATACCTCAACTCATTCACCTCATTCCCCAAAACCTGGTTCCTCTCCTCCAGTATCAACACTCGCTCATTCTGTCGGGCCACCTGCTCCCTAACCATGGCCAGCTCCCCTTTCAATGCTGTCAGCTCCCCTCTCACCAAACCGAACAGTCCGCGCAGTGCTTCAGCAATCTCATTCCCCTCCCTCTCTGTAGCCATACGTGCTGCTTTATTACAGGTAGATCCCTTCTTACAAAGGAACGCCTGAAGTGGCATGCCGATGTCGGTACGCATGAAAGCATATATGTATAGGGACATGCATAGAGAAAAGAGGCACAGGAGGCAGACATTAGGAGAAAGTGACATAGGTTTAATCCACCAAGGCAAGACGAGAATTGCTTGTCGAGTTAAGTACCCGTACTCTATTCGACTGGAAATAGGGGAGGGGGGGGGAAGGGGGGGGGGGGGGGGGAGGGGGGGCTTACAAATACAGATTTCATGTTGGCCCCTGCACCACTTGCAAAAGCATATCGTTTTTTTTTAACTTGCTCAGCTAGACAGGGTGATCCTTATGTGTGGCAGGGAGTGTGGGTTTCCAGGTGGGCATGAGAGGGGGCAGGGTGGATTCTCTGGCAGAGCAGGGTGAGATTCCGCATGGGTGCTGAGGATGAGGCGGGAGTTGCTAGCAAGATGGTATTCTAGCTCCTCAAGGCGATCAACAAGGCGGCGGAGAGGGAAGGCACCCAATGCGAGTAGACATCTAGCTGTTAAGCAACGCAAACCAAAATAAGGTGAGTATACTTGGCCTCATCCACTGCTCGTGACTACATCCAAGCAGTGGAACTGAAAATCAGAGGTGCGAGCTTAACTAAGAGAGGAGCCTGGTAGAGGAAATGCGAGCTAACACATCTCTAGCGGAAAAGACGTTTCCCAACTAATAGCTGTTCTTGAAACTGAGTGGATGGAGTGGTGGGGATTCAAGGGATAATGGAAAACACATGGATGTGAGGTAACGGGACTTGCGGCAGCTATGTCTGGTCACACGTCCCTTCTTGGCGATTCCTTACCAAGTGATTACCCCATTGGCATTCAGTGTGCACTGCTTACGGAAGCGTGAGAAATTATGCATGACTATCACGCTTTTCCCTAGTGTGCTAAGCTATGGGAACGTGGAATAGACGGTGGGGATGTAGTGCGAGGATGAGAGAAACAGAGGTTGGGAGCATCGGCGAAAGGAGGAATCTGAGGATGGACGGTCGTGGCTGGCGTGCAAGCCGAAATGAATGCAATGACGGGACCAGCCTTACCTGTTTCTAGGGTTTGGAAGATTGAAACGTGTGGTAAGAGACTAGCGCAGACACTTGGCTCTGAGCTCCGCAACAGGCACCAGACACGCCAAACGATCCGAAATACGGAGTTGTGAAAAAATAGAAGCGAGAGAATGCGATGGCTTTGAAAAAAAAAAGAAGCGAGTGCGAGCGGTAAAAAGAGGGATAGATAAGATACCGATGGAAAGGATGATTTCTATCCCGCTCACTGATACTAACCGATACTAACTGCTAACCGATACTAAGTGAAACGAGGAATATTATACACGCTTTTAAAGCATAGAAACGCGACTCGTAGTTTCTGCAGGAACTACGGTGGTGGGATGAGTGTGAGCATATGTGTGCCCAACATTGTGACAGCAGCACTGGAGCCTATTCTACGACACTAGTTCAGATGCGTGGTATTTCCAGTTGATGCCTCGTTTCAAGTACGAAGCTGACGAAAGGCATGTGGGGGGTAACCGTGCAAATGTCGGTCAAATGAACTAACTTGATTTGAAATGTGTAACTGGTACCTCACGAACTCAGGCATCGAATCTGAGTCACAGGGCCTGCTTGTTTTTTTTTTTTTTTTTTTTTTTTTTTTTTTTTTTTTTTTTTTTTTTGAAGGATGCAATGCACTATAGAGTGTGTACATCTACAGTCGTAACTGTGAGGGAGGAAGGGACCAGGAAGACAAGGGAGTCTACTCAGCCCTTCCGTAACACTCTAAGGCGGCTGGAAGGCAGTTCTCGGGTTAGCCCACACGGATCTGAAACCTTCCCTCCACGTCAGCGAATTCCCATCTTCAAAAATCCGGCTCAGCATTGCAGCCTCGTCCTGTGCCAGGTGAGGCCAACCCCTTGCCCCACTCCGCCCATCACTCTTTGCCACCTGTCTCTTGTAGGCACTGTAGATCCTCACATGCTTCATGAAGTTCACCCCAATCTTCCGGAGCACTCTCTGTGGTTGAAATCTCCCCTGTCGAAAGGCAGCTTCGCAGCGTTCCAGCCAGATCTGGTGAAAGGCAACCGCAATCAGCGGCTTTTCCGGAAAACCTGACATCGTGCCATCCGCCCCAAACAGGAAGTCCTCGAGTCTCTCCACCTCCCTTTTTGGATTCATCTGCTGTAAAGCCCCCTTAACCGCGCCGATGACAGGCTGTATACAGCCGCACTCCAGCAAGCAGTGGGCTAGGGTTTCGTCCTCTGCACAGTGCGGGCAGCTGATGCGATCCTTCATGAACTTCAGTCTCTCCCCCACCTGCAGATTCTTGCTGTGAAGCCTTAAAATGATTTCGCGCACGCTGCCCGGGGTAACCAGGGTGTCCCTCTTCCGGATAACCCCATTCCAATCCACAGGCTTCCCATAATCCTGTTCCCACTTCTTCTGCTGCTTCGGCTGCTCCACCGGCCCTTTCAGAACCGCCCTCAGCTTCTTCAGAGTGGCCCCTTTTCCTTTCTCACATAGCACCGACAGCCTCAACCTTGTGAGCGCGAGCCCCGCTTCTCCCATCAGCAGGTCATTCTCCACCAGTAACGGAGTTAGTCTGCGGGTCTCGACTCGGAGTTGATTTGCTCTGTTCGACAGAAGTAGTTCCCCTCTCTTCCCCACCTCCGCCGGCTTGCACAGGACTCCATCGCCATCCTCTGCTAATAGCTGCCAGTACAGAGGTTTGCCTGCCAGAGAACGCGTGCAGGCGAAGCGCGTCAGCTTCAGAACTTCACCCCCGGTCAGTCTCGCAAGGAGGGCTTCCTTCCACTCCCCTGGTACCGCCTTCCAAGCCTTGAGAGCCCATCGTGCCGTTGTCGAGCTGCCTGTCTCCTTAGTTAGAGCCCACATGTCTTTCGCCCTTTTTGTGCCATCCCAGTCCGTCTGCACCAAGTCTCCCACGGTCAGCTCCAGCAGGCATATGGAGCCCTTCTGCCTTCCAAATGGGCTTTTCCCTCGATAGAAAATGTATCTGCTGAAGCAGATCCTTTCTGCTGCATATTCCCACCGGTTCGCAGGCGCGGGAATCTTCTGCTGCAGGACTTGCCAGAAAGTAATCACCGACCTCCGCCATTTTTCCCCCCCTTTGTTCCATATTCGCAGGATTGAACGGTGAGCAAGCAGAGTCGCCCATCCAAATGGCATCCCAGCTGCCCTCTCCATCAACCATCGTTTCATCTGATCTCTTTGCTGTACCGCGTCACCCAGATTCTTCAGCGCCATGCATTCCACCCGCATTGTCGGGTTGATCACCCCCAAACCTCCTTCCTTCCTGTCCATGTAAGCCAGCTCCCCACTCCACAGGACAAAGTGCTTGTCTGCTGAGGCTTTGCCGCTGGACGTGAAGTTGTGGCTGGTGGCTCTGAACTCCTTCCACGTCCCCTTCGGTGGCGGGTAGACTTGCGCCTGGAAGAGAAGGATAGGGGTGGCGTACGAGTTCAGCACCGATACCCTCGCCGAAGTTTTAACGTGTTGGTTCTGCCACTTCACCAGCACTTCCCCCGCTCTGTCAGCCGCCTTTTCCCAAGATGGCTCCGGGTTACCACCCGAGGTTATCCAGATCCCCAGGAGTCTTTGTGGTTCGTCTATCCCAGCCCAGGTGTATGGTACATCCGACGGCGGAGGTAAACCTCTGTTCTTGCCTAGCGGCACCACAACTGTCTTTCCTCGGTTCACCTTCAGCCCCGAGATCTCCCCAAAGTCGTCCAGCAGCTTGCATGCTTTGTCGATTTGTTCCTTGCGATGCAGAACGATCGATGTATCATCCGCGTAACCCAAATATGCCACGTCACCAACACCTCTCTTCCACACCCCCAGCCTTCTCCGTCTGATTTCTTGACTCAGTGGTTCAGCTGCGCAGATGAACAGGTACGGTGCGAGAGGGCACCCTTGCCTGACTCCTCTCTCCATCTCCACCCTGTCTCCCAGCCGGCCGTTGATCAGCAGCTGCGTTCCGGAGTGATCATGTAGCCCCTCCGCCCATTTCACATACTCCTCCGGGAAGCCCATTCGTGTAAGCGTCTGAAACAGGTATCTCCGAGAGATCGAATCGTACGCCTTTTGGAAGTCGACCAAGAGAAGGTACCAATCCTCTCTTCCCGCTGCCGCCGCGTCGATGACATCAGCGACAACATTGACTGCATCTGCCAGCTTTCGCCCCGGTAAGAAACCATATTGGTGGTCCGAGATCACGGACGGGAGCACCTTCTTGATCCGGTTCGCCAACACCTTCGCCACAATTTTGTATGTCGCGCTTAAGAGTGTAATGGGCCGATAGTTCTCCAACATCGATTTGTCCCCCTTCTTGTGCAGGAGTATTGTCACCGCCGTCGTAAACTGCTCCGTGAGCACCGCTGACCTCTCGAAGTCCTTTACAAAGGCCATGAAGCACGAGCCAAGCAGATCCCAGTTCTCCTCCAGCAACTCCTTCGGAAGTCCATCCAGGCCAGGTGCTTTGCCGCATGGCAGCTGTTGGATTGCTAACTTCACCTCCTCCACCGTCCAAGGGACCCTCAAACCCTCTCTTTCTGCTGCGCTGGGTGTCTTGCCAGGGGCGACCGGCCAAACAGTACTCGCCTCTGCCTCTCGGGCTGCAAACGCTGCCGTGAAGTATTCCGAGGCCGCGATGAGAATTTCCCTCTCCCCCGTGAAACAGGCACCGTTGAAGTTGACTTCCTCAATCATCGTCTGCGCCCTTTTAGATGCAATCCGACTTGACAGCACCGGAGAAGGGAGTTCCCCAAGTACTTCCGTCTGCACTCCCGCCATAGTTTGTAGACGCTCCCTTTCCTCGTCTTGATACGCTTTCAGCATGGAGCCGTACTTGGCCAGTTGCTCGTAGCAGTCAGCACCACCATCCCCATTCATAAACTCATCTTTCAGCTGCGACACTGTCGCCTCCAGCCGCGCCATTGTTTTCTTCACTCTCTTCTTTTCCTCTTTTGCGTATACACGTATGCTTGACTGCAGTTTAACCAGAAGCTCGGGAAAACTTGGGAGCGGCTGCTGCGGATCTTCCCCCATGATCAGCTGAATCCGCTTCTTGACCCCCGGCATCTTGGCCTGTGCCGCATACATCTTCCACAACCCCGGTCCTCCGCGCTCGCACGCTGAAACGCGGATGTCCACCGAAACGGCATACCAGTGATCAGAAATGCCATGCGGTACAGAGGAGTGGTAAGCATTACCAACCCTGTGAAGGAGAGACTGTGACACCAATGCTCTGTCGATCCGTGAACGCTCCTTAGCAGAATGCGCATAAAAGGTATATTCACGTTTCATCGGATGCAAGGTACGGAAGGTGTCTTGCATGTCAAGTCGAGTGAAGATGTCGAGTAGTCTCTGGTTCTCCCTTGAAGATCCTATCTTTGATGATTTGTCTATCCTTGGATCAGCTATCACGTTCAGGTCCCCGATGAGGATCGTGTGAGGCACCGGCGGGAGGCTGTCGACAAAAGTCGAGAGGCAGTCTCTAAAGAAAACACCTCTGGCTGTTGCTTGTGCAGGGAAGTAGGCAGCAATGATACGCCAGGACAGATCTCCTTTCTCCAGCGACACCGCTACCAGTCTGCCCGATACATGTGAGTGGATGTCCTTGAAGACAACACCCGGAGTAAAGCTAAGGATCGCAACACCACCCGCTCCTCCCGCCGGCGAAACTGCCGCGAAAGCAGAGGGGTTCAGCTGCGTCCAGAAATTGTGGTCTGCCTCTACCCTCGTGTCTGTGAGTATGAGTACGTTAGCCGCTGATTTGAACCACTTGTTATATGCACTCCTCTTCGCCGCACTGCCTAAGCCGTTGATGTTCAGTGCGGTCACCACGAACATGTCTTTTTTATTCATTTGACCACTGCGACAGACCCCTCCGCATCCACGGGTCGAAGCAGCGCACACATACAGTAAAGGCCACAAACAGCGACAGACGAAAAGATGAATCCTAGGGCAGAGCAGCTAACAGCCAGCCTGAGCGGTGATCCTTCAGACCCATCGCAGCACCCTTTCCATGTAAAGCCGCAAATGATATCAGCTCCATCACATCGTACTGCTACATCCCGTACTCCTTCCTGATGCTGGGCAGGTTTGCTTTTCCCAATGTCACTCTCGTTGCCGAGCCCAATTCCTCCAGGTGAATCAGGTGGTCCGCGGAGGTGATATGGTCTGCAGCACTCATGAATGAGGAACCCTTCGCCTTTCCGCAGCCCGCCTGAGTGCAAATCCATTCTTCCCGATTTCCGCCAGTTGAGATTAAAACGATGGCAGGGTCCAGGAGGATGGGGGTGACTAACGGCGACGTGCGAATGGACGCAGCTGCGACAAGAGATCCAGGTGTTAGCATCATGCAGAAAGGATAACGGGAAAACTGGTACGTGGTTGGGATTCTCTGTGTTACCGTTGATCTTGTGCACCCTCCCCAGATTCAAACTCCACTTCCCTATATTATTCTGACGTTCGGTGACGAACATATCATGAAATTTCTCATAATGATGTCCGCCACAGAACGTGCAGGATAGTAAAGGGTAGTGAACCATGATCTGCTTCGAGGTGTCCATGGGGTTGTTGACGACATGACGCCAGCGGTGTTTGTCACCAGGATGAGCAATAACCAGCCCTTTCACCGTGTCCGTATCAGCTCCCGTAACAGGATGGAGAACCCGGTGGAAGCAGAGACCTTTGGCAAAGGCAGAGGACTTGCGGATCTTCAACGGATACCGGCAGAGCATGTCCTTCAGCAAATCAGGGGAGACGTTAGCAGAGACATCTTTAAAATATAACTCGATAACATCAGGGTTAGACGCCTTCTCTTTCAGGTAAGCCGGGTTCTCTGTATGTTGCCAGAAAAGTGTGACCTTCCCCTTTGGCCGCTGATATTCCACCGTCTTCGTCCTGACTGCTATCGCATCTTCCTCCCGCAGGAAAGAGAGCTGAAGGCGACAGAAATGCTGCTTCACGACATACGTAGCCGGGAGAGTCTGAACCGAAGCCGTGTCAATAGCACCCTCCGTAAGCGAAGAAATCCAGACCTTACGCAGGAGTGTCCACACCATGTTAATGACTGCGCCGAGCTCCTGCTGCAGCATGAAGGGTACCAGTAGGATGGCTGTGAAGCGGAGGCGAGCAGCAGCCTCTTGCTGGATGTCGATGTCCAGCTCTTCATCTGAATCGTCTTCAAGGAATCCATCCGCAGAGAGCTGACACGCCGTTGTAGCCTTCTCTGCAGGAGCCAGGCCAGAGCTTCCAGCCACCGGTAAAGGATCAGGAGTCGTAGTCACGCCATTATCCGAAGCCACTGGCGTTGTAGGAAGCCCCACAGGGGTCTCCATAGACAAGTTTTCTTCTGCTACCTGTTTCCCCTTTGCAGGAGCGCGAGGCATTTTGCACTGATGACAGAGCACCGGCAGCGAAAGTGACAATAAGTCACGGAAAGCCTGATGAGCTGGTTGATTGAGCATAACGCTGTTAAATAATGTTGCTGCTTGAGCGTCATGCCATAGCTCATGCTGCAGATGATGATAAGTTGCTGATAGAACCGTGGGACTGCTTTGCGCCTTGATACTGTGCAATCCGACATGCCAATAGGAGCCTGTCGCGTTGTCATTGATGTGTTGTGCAGACCTTGATAGTTGATCGCTGATAAAGTGAGCCTTGGGAATGATTAGCTGAGATAACAACAGGTAAGACTTCGAGGTAGGTACAATGTTCGTCTGATGAACACCTAAAAGGCACCAAACTCTTCGTCTTAACGAGGCGATGCCGAAACTGTTGCTCTTAAAGCCAACTGACACATAGGCTTCACGCGAAGTTAATGAATTTTGTGAACAGATAGCTCATCGCGGAAAATGGGTGGTAACTTGAAAACAATCGCGATTGGAGGCAAACTCGAAATTCGAGTACCAGGTCATAATTTGATCCCATATGCTCCTTCCTACTCAGGCTATGTTCAGCTAACACTAGTATGTGCTAGCCGTGACGCATAGTAGGCGTACTACATTGCAAGCGCGCTATCTCCCATCGCAAGAGAAGTTGACTCGAATCGCTTCTACGAAACAAGTACGACTCACGGCGACGCCATTCTTCGCCACTCGTACTATACTCCGCGCATCCAGTGCTCTCGTCACTATTATTGGCCCGCTCGTTTCCTTCCGTCGCAACACTTTCGAAATTGCCGCGCCGCGCCATCACGCACCACGCGCTGCAGATCGACGCACCGCGCCGCCTCTGAGTCTCTTCGAGCCGCGGAAACACGATAGTATAAGAAACCCTAAATAGAGGTAAGCCTCCCCTTTCTTTCCCCAGTCAGACCTTCGCTTTCAAGCCTTGCAAGCCTGAGGCGCACAACTCAAAAGTCATGGTGCTCGTAGTTCTGGCAGAGGGGGTCAATGCGCAACTGTTGGTTACACACGGAGTTGCTTACGGATTCTGCATACTGCCAAGAGACTAGCAGAGCCCCTTGACGCATTCGTTGCCCCTCTTGGCATTGCTACTTTCGCCCCGGTTCACGGAGTCACGCTGTCACTCACCCATGCAATGACTGTCCAAGCCTATGACCCAACTCAGGCTGTCACCAACCGCGTTGTTAGCCTGGCCCCTTCCCGTGCTGCTAATTCACCCTGCTGTCACTGTCCTAGGCTCTGGCTGACCTAGGCTCTGGTTGACCTAGGCTCTGATCTGATTGACCTAGGCTCTGATTGACCTAGGCTCTGGGTGACCTAGTCTCTGATTGACCTAGGCTCTGATTGACCTAGGCTCTGGGTGACCTAGTCTCTGATTGACCTAGGCTCTGGTTGACCTAGGCTCTGGTTGACCTAGGCTCTGATTGACCTAGGCTCTGATTGACCTAGGCTCTGGTTGACCTAGTCTCTGATTGACCTAGGCTCTGATTGACCTAGGCTCTGGTTGACCTAGTCTCTGATTGACCTAGGCTCTGATTGACCTAGGCTCTGGGTGACCTAGTCTCTGATTGACCTAGGCTCTGGTTGACCTATGCTCTGGTTGACCTAGGCTCTGATTGACCTAGGCTCTGATTGACCTAGGCTCTGGTTGACCTAGTCTCTGATTGACCTAGGCTCTGATTGACCTAGGCTCTGGTTGACCTAGTCTCTGATTGACCTAGGCTCTGATTGACCTAGGCTCTGGTTGACCTAGGCTCTGGTTGACCTATGCTCTGGTTGACCTAGGCTCTGGGTGGCCTAGTCTCTGATTGACCTAGGCTCTGATTGACCTATGCTCTGATTGACCTAGGCTCTGGTGAATAAGTTTCTGATTGACCTAGGCTCTGATTGACCTAGGCTCTGGTTGACCTAGGCTCTGATTGACCTAGGCTCTGGTTAACCTAGGCTCTGGTTGACCTAGGCTCTGGTTGACCTATGCTCTGGTTGACATAGGCTCTGATTGACCTAGGCTCTGGTTGACCTATGCTCTGGTTGACCTAGGCTCTGATTGACCTAGGCTCCGATTGACCTAGGCTCTGGTTGACCTAGTCTCTGATTGACCTAGGCTCTGATTGACGTAGGCTCTGGTTGACCTAGTCTCTGATTGACCTAGGCTCTGGTTGACCTAGGCTCTGGGTGACCTAGTCTCTGATTGACCTAGGCTCTGGTTGACCTAGGCTCTGGTTGACCTAGGCTCTGATTGACCTAGGCTCTGATTGACCTAGGCTCTGGTTGACCTAGTCTCTGATTGACCTAGGCTCTGATTGACCTAGGCTCTGGTTGACCTAGTCTCTGATTGACCTAGGCTCTGATTGACCTAGGCTCTGGGTGACCTAGTCTCTGATTGACCTAGGCTCTGATTGACCTAGGCTCTGATTGACCTAGGCTCTGGTTGACCTAGTCTCTGATTGACCTAGGCTCTGATTGACCTAGGCTCTGGTTGACCTAGTCTTTGATTGACCTAGGCTCTGATTGACCTAGGCTCTGGGTGACCTTGTCTCTGATTGACCTAGGCTCTGATTGACCTAGGCTCTGGTTGACCTAGTCTCTGATTGACCTAGGCTTTGATTGACCTAGGCTCTGGTAGACCTAGTCTTTGATTGACCTAGGCTCTGATTGACCTAGGCTCTGGTTGACCTAGGCTCGGATTGACCTAGGCTCTGATTGACCTAGGCTCTGATTGACCTAGGCTCTGGTTGAACTAGTCTCTGATTGACCTAGGCTCTGGTTGACCTAGGCTCTGGTTGACCTAGTCTCTGATTGACCTAGGCTCTGATTGACCTAGTCTCTGATTGACCTAGGCTCTGATTGACCTAGGCTCTGATTGACCTAGGCTCTGGTTGACCTAGTCTCTGATTGACCTAGGCTATGATTGACCTAGGCTCTGGTTGACCTAGTCTCTGATTGACCTAGGCTCTGATTGACCTAGGCTCTGGGTGACCTAGTCTCTGATTGACCTAGGCTCTGGTTGACCTATGCTCTGGTTGACCTAGGCTCTGATTGACCTAGGCTCCGATTGACCTAGGCTCTGGTTGACCTAGTCTCTGATTGACCTAGGCTCTGATTGACCTAGGCTCTGGTGACCTAGTCTCTGATTGACCTAGGCTCTGATTGACCTAGGCTCTGGTTGACCTAGGCTCTGGTTGACCTATGCTCTGGTTGACCTAGGCTCTGGTTGACCTATGCTCTGGTTGACCTAGGCTCTGATTGACCTAGGCTCCGATTGACCTAGGCTCTGGTTGACCTAGGCTCTGATTGACCTAGGCTCTGATTGACCTAGGCTCTGGTTGAACTAGTCTCTGATTGACCTAGGCTCTGGTTGACCTAGGCTCTGGTTGACCTAGTCTCTGATTGACATAGGCTCTGATTGACCTAGTCTCTGATTGACCTAGGCTCTGATTGACCTAGGCTCTGATTGACCTAGTCTCTGGTTGACCTAGTCTCTGATTGACCTAGGCTCTGATTGACCTAGGCTCTGGTTGACCTAGTCTCTGATTGACCTAGGCTCTGATTGACCTAGTCTCTGGTTGACCTAGGCTCTGATTGACCTAGGCTCTGGTTGACCTAGGCTCTGGTTGACCTAGGCTCTGGTTGACCTATGCTCTGGTTGACCTAGGCTCTGATTGACCTAGGCTCTGATTGACCTAGGCTCTGGTTGACCTAGTCTCTGATTGACCTAGGCTCTGGTTGACCTAGTCTCTGATTGACCTAGGCTCTGATTGACCTAGGCTCTGGTTGACCTAGTCTTTGATTGACCTAGGCTCTGATTGACCTAGGCTCTGGGTGACCTAGTCTCTGATTGACCTAGGCTCTGATTGACCTAGGCTCTGGTTGAACTAGTCTCTGATTGACCTAGGCTCTGATTGACCTAGGCTTTGGTTGACCTAGTCTTTGATTGACCTAGGCTCTGATTGACCTAGGCTCTGGTTGACCTAGGCTCTGGTTGACCTAGGCTCTGATTGACCTAGGCTCTGATTGACCTAGGCTCTGGTTGACCTAGTCTCTGATTGACCTAGGCTCTGTTTGACCTAGGCTCTGGTTGACCTAGTCTCTGATTGACCTAGGCTCTGATTGACCTAGTCTCTGATTGACCTAGGCTCTGATTGACCTAGGCTCTGATTGACCTAGGCTCTGGTTGACCTAGTCTCTGATTGACCTAGTCTCTGATTGACCTAGGCTCTGGTTGACCTAGTCTCTGATTGACCTAGGCTCTGATTGACCTAGGCTCTGGGTGACCTAGTCTCTGATTAACCTAGGCTCTGGTTGACCTATGCTCTGGTTGACCTAGGCTCTGATTGACCTAGGCTCTGATTGACCTAGGCTCTGGGTGGCCTAGTCTCTGATTGACCTAGGCTCTAATTGACCTAGGCTCTGGTTGACCTAGTCTCTGATTGACCTAGGCTCTGATTGACCTAGGCTCTGGTTGACCTAGTCTTTGATTGACCTAGGCTCTGGTTGACCTAGGCTCTGGTTGACCTAGGCTCTGGTTGACCTAGGCTCTGGTTGACCTAGGCTCTGGTTGACCTAGTCTCTGATTGACCTAGGCTCTGATTGACCTAGGCTCTGGTTGACCTAGTCTCTGATTGACCTAGGCTCTGATTGACCGAGGCTCTGATTGACCTAGGCTCTGATTGACCTAGGCTCTGATTGACCTAGGCTCTGGGTGACCTAGTCTCTGATTGACCTAGGCTCTGGTTGACCTATGCTCTGGTTGACCTAGGCTCTGATTGACCTAGGCTCCGATTGACCTAGGCTCTGGTTGACCTAGTCTCTGATTGACCTAGGCTCTGATTGACCTAGGCTCTGGTGACCTAGTCTTGATTGACCTAGGCTCTGATTGACCTAGGCTCTGGTTGACCTAGGCTCTGATTGACCTAGGCTCTGGTTGACCT